GATGGATGGATGGATGGAAGAATGGAATATTGGATATGTGGATGGATGGATGGATGGATGGATGGATGGAAGAATGGAATATTGGATATGTGGATGGATGGATGGATGGATGGATGGATGGATGGAAGATTGGAAGACGGATGGACGGATCAATGAATGGACAGAAGGACAGTGTCAGCCATATTTTCAATCCCCTGAATGAAAGTAGGAAGGACTTAAGCATATCTGGTCCCAAGTTCTAACATTTAACAAAGCCTTTTTTTCTTCTATGAGTCCCTCTTTGGCTTCCACCTCCTCTGTTCATATCAGGCAACAGGGCTTCTACTTTATTCCCCAATCCTAGTTCTCATTTTGTCCCCAGTGGGACATTCCTAACCTGTAGCCTCTGTCCCAGGCTGCAGCCTAGAAAGGCTCCTGCCCATGTCAGATGCCACCTGGAGAGCTTCTCCTGATGGAGGAGAGATTTTCACACCAGAAGCATCTTGGCTTCCCACCACCAAAGGGCCCTCTGATGGCATAAAAGCAACGGGGAAGAGTCTGGGCATTTCCCTTCAGAGCAGCTTCAAACTGTAGCTCTCAAAACAGGCAATGGGATTCTATTCTTCTTTTTCACCCAAGAAATCCTTACCGTTCCTTTTAGTGTCTGCTGCAAAAAAGAGTGGTTTCTTCTCTTACCTGGGTATTCTTTGTAAAATTTGTGTCGGAGGAACTGCCCATCTGGAAAACACAGGAGAGGATTAAGCTCTTTCCAGTGAGTTCGTATGGCCAAAACCATTTCATAATAAGATCGAGGAATTCTTTGTGTTTTCACTCTCATTCCCTCCCAGGTGTGCATGGAGTGCCCAGAGGCTGCGTGATGTGTGATGTCACCACTGATGGAATGCAGAAGCAGGCGTGAGAACCAAGCTCTCCTCTCTCCATGCACATATTAGAACTGCAAAAATGTAAACCGGGGTCACGGGGCACCTGGGCGGCTCAGTGGGTTAAGACCTCAGCCTTCGGCTCGGGTCATGATCCCACAGTCCTGGGATCGAGCCCCACATCGGGCTCTCTGCTCGGCGGGGAGCCTGCTTCCCCCCACACCTCTCTGCCTTCTTGTCATCTCTGTCTGTCAAATAAATAAATAAATCTTTAAAAAAAAAATGTAAACCGGGGCCAGTCTTCCATTTTTGTGTGTTGGAAAGTATAGTTACTTGTAAAAGAAACACTATTTCTGTTTAATGCATAATGAGTTTATCATTGTCATTCTTCAATGAATTAACACAAATGTTTTTAATGCCTTGGCTTCAGTTTCTAATACAGTAATTACCCAGAGCCACACAAAGGAGAGCTCTATGGGGTCCTCAATGTTTTGGGAGTGTAAGGGTGTCCCGAGGCCAAAAAGTTTAGGAATCACTGTCTTAAAAAGATGAATTGGAGGGGCACTTGGGTGGCTCAGTGGGTTAAAGCCTCTGCCTTTGGCTCGGGTCATGATCCCAGGTCCTGGAATCGAGCCCTCCATCAGGCTCTCTGCTTGGTGGGGAGCCTGCTTCCCCCCCCCCCGCCTCCCTCTCTGCCTACTTGTGATCTCTGTCTGTCAAATAAATAAATTAAATCTTTAAAAAAAAAAATGAATTGGAAGCCGAATTTCAACATATTATTCAGCAAGTGTGATTACAAGCTATGTACTTCACATGGGGAACACATGGTACTTTTCTGAGTCTGTTCAAAGGGGTTTTGAATGTCCTCACTGCATGGGACAAAGTAATGAGTAGCTATCTCATTGCACTGCTTCCCTAATCCTCTCTGGGCCTCAGTTTGCTCACCTGGAAATGGGCACAAAATTAGCAACTCATGGGGCGCCTGGGTGGCTCCGCTGGTTAAGCGTCTGACACTCCCCTCACGCCTCCACGTTTACCAAAGATGATCACAGGTCATTTTAACAAAGTAGATCTTCCCTGCTTAAGGCGACACAGTTCTCTGTCCTTTGCACGCAGCACGAGCCAAGTTGCTTGGTCAGAGGCAAGCCGGGGGGACACAGGACATGTTGCCTCTGAGTGACCTCAAACCCACTCAGAGAAATGCACTGACTCCCTGGGCCCTGCTCTCCAAAGAGGAGGATTTACTGCCTGTGTCGACGTTCATTTTCCTCTCGGGAAAGATGTGAACCCCTCAAATGCTGGGTTCCAAGATGATGTACCATAAAACCCAAATGCTCCCAGGCACCCTCTAGACACTGGCTCTCAGAAGAGACTGGCGTCCTAGAGGTGGGCATGAGATCTGCAACTTACTCTCAAACAGCCCCCAAAATAAATACACCAACGTATATGGAAAGACAGGGGGGGCTGGCGGGAGGAAGAGAGAGAGAACGGTAAAGTGAATGTGACCATCTTTTAACAACTGATGGGCCATTGGGGTGGAGGGTTCAAGGTACTATTCTTGCCTCTTTTCTGAAGTCTGGAATTATTTAAAAAAAATTTTTTTTAAGATTTTTATTTATTTATTTGACAGAGAGAGAGCACGTGTGCACAAGCAGGGGGAACAGCGGAGGGAGAGGGAGAAGGAGGCTCCCTGATGAGCAGGGAGCCCGATGTGGGACTCGATCCTGGGACCCCGGGATCATGACCTGAACCGAAGGCAGATGCTTTACTGACGGAGCCACCCAGGCAGCCTGAAGTCTGAAATTATTTCAAATATGTAGTTTAAAATGATAATACTTAAATAAAAGGCTTCTTTCTGGTTAGCCTGGGACAAGTGCCCTTGTTCCTCCCCAAGGCTGTTGTTCCAAGAGAAGTTGTTGGAAATCAAGACATGTCCAAATTCCCATATAATTACCAACAGTTGCTGCTCCCTGACGTCCCTGGGAGCAAGGCTAGGAGGAATTTTGCTTACATTTCCATCTGCAAGGCTCCGATCATTCCTGGAGCAGGGGAGAACACAGACCCACACCCACCCACAGACTCTACATCCCATGGACAGGCTCAGAAACGCCCCCCTCGGCTCCTGGTCAGCTGTGCACACTGTAGGCAAGTTCCTCTTCTGTAAGACAGATGACAGCACGAAGTGGCCTATTATGAGCCCACTTTACAGGTAAGAAAAATGAAACCAAGAAGGTTAGGCTATTTGCCATACACAGCAGTGAGGGGCCAAGGGACCACCGGAGCCCAGGCTGCCTGGGTAGAGAACACACTCGTGTTCCCCAAACAGCAGGTGGAACGTAGGAGAAACCACCAAGATGCCTACTGTGGGCAGAAAGAGAGAAAGAGACAGACAGAGAGGGAGAGAGCTCGAGTGGTGGGGAAGGGGTAGAGGCAGAGGGAGAGAGAGAATCCCAGGCAGGCTCCACGCCCAGCACAGAGCCTGATGCAGGGCTCGATCTCACCACCCAGGGATCACAACCTGGGCCGAAACCAAGAGTAGGACGCTTAACCTACTGAGCCACCCAGGCGCCCCTTAATGCGTCCTTTTGAAACACTCGCGGGAAATACCATTCTCCAATGAGGAAAAGAAATGCTCAGGCAGATCACGTGCCGGTGTGTTCTTTGGGCCTCGGTGTAAACCAAGGGTGCCAATCCCAGCTCTCAGGGCTGAGAAATGCAGAGGCAGGGGCAGGGCCCTGAGTCTGGGCTCTCAGAATCCCAGAAGCTCAACTGTGACAAGGCCAACTCACATCTCCCTGTAATTCCAGATTCTTCGCTTGTCCCGCATTTCTTCCAAGTCCTGGGGACCTTACGCCTTGCCTAAGGCTCGAAGGGCTTTAGGTAAGTATCACCAGCCGTCCATGCTCCTGGTCCTGGCCCTGCTTGGGAAAACTCACGTCCACTAAAGCAGTGCCATTCATGCCCCTCCCTGATCGCTTTGCTATTTACTATCCACCTCCAGGGACCGAGATGAATGAAGTCACACCAAACGCTCCTGCAGAGACCCTGGGAAGTCAAGGGTTCTCAGACAATTTAAAAAATAGCTAATCAGATGAATATTAAATATCCAATGTTCCCTGATCACCTAATTCTGCTTGGCTCTGCTCTGAAGGCTTTACACTATGATTTAAATGAATTTCCATAAGGGTGCACAGTGGCCCCATTTCACCGATGAGAATACTGAGGCTCAGAGGTTCAAAGGCACTGATCCCAGTTAGGAGGTGGCAGGGCTCAAAGACCTATGTCCCATGCAGGCAGGGAGGGGAAGGATGGAAGACAAAGGGGGAAGCACAGAAGGAGGAGGGCAGGAGGAGCTCTCGGCCAGGCTTCAAGGGGCACTGGCGGTTGTCTCTGGGACAGGTGTCCCATGTGGGGTGTTCTAGGGAGAGGGGGCAGGGGCCAGGAGAAAGGCTTGGGTGCCCACACTCACCTGCCTGCCGGCGCTGCTTGACACACTGCCCGCGGTTGGGGATGCCCTCGGCCGCATCCCCAGGGCTCAGGATGTGGCACTCGTAGCCCGAGGGGCAGAGGAGGGGTTCCGCCCCATCCTCTGTGGTGCTGCAGGCCTCGGCTGGGGGACAGGCACGTGGCCAGGTGTCAGGTGGAGGTCGTGAACTAGAGGGCCTGCCTCCCCTCTGCCCCCGACCTTCCAGGCCATGCCTCAGGTCTCACTCACAGCAGTGTGTTTGCACACACACATGCACACACAGGGGCCATGCAAACTCACGTGATCCCAAATGCCGTCATGTGCCATGAGCTACACACATGTTCACCTACACACATGCTCATGCTTATAGTCACATGTGTTCATGCACAAAAGCCCGACACACACACATACTCACAGATACGCACACGCTCCCGCACACAAGTCCTGGCCTGTACACATGATTCCCGAACAGGTGCACGCGCTCACACTTACAGCCACTGGTGTACATGTGCATTCCTACACAACTCCTGATGTGCACACATTTGCACACCATGGCTCTTACACGCACACTCACACCTACAGGCACACACATTTGCACGCACGCCGATGCATAAACATTCACACAGCCCTGAACAGCCACACAGGTGCACACACAGCCGCACACCCTGGTGCAGTCGTGCCCACGGATGTGTGCAGGGTCACAGGGAGAGCCCCGTCCACACAAGTACAAGGACACACTCGTGCCCTGCAGTTCTCTAGGCCCCCAGGGCTGCCAGCCTGCTCTCCACCCACCCGGAGAAGGCCTCATCCTCGGGGAACAGGGAACGCCTTATGATGATTTCGGGGAACTGAAAATCAACCCCAACCCCCTGCCTCTCACGTCTCCACCCTGCGTGGTAGGGGGAGAAGGAGGCCCCATTTGCAGGGCGCGTCAAGCCCTCTACTGTTCAGGGGATTCGGAGCGCTGGGCCAAGCTGCAGCCACCACCCTTCTACGTATTGGGGTATCTGAGAGCAGACAGCCTGCTGGAGGAGAGGCAGCCTGAGAAGCAGGGCCCGGGCCCTGGCTCAGACGTCAGGTTGGGCTTCACCCTGCACGTACCTTGCAACACCTCCTCAGGGCCATCCAGAAGCCAGCCGTTGCCGCCAAGCCATCGAGGTTTCGGCTGCACTAGCCAGTCTAAAACTAACGAAATAATACATGCTTAAATGGAGCCCTCCCCCTGCCGGGCCCCCGTCTGACAGTCGAAAAATGCCCCAGCTCTGGGATTTGGGGAGCCTACACCTCATGAAGAACACAGAGGCTGCCTACCATGTATTTGCCCTGCCTTTCAGTAGCAGAACTTTGAGTTTCCTCGAGCCAAGCTGGAGACTACATTTCCCAGCCTTCCTTGCAGCTAGGTATGGCCACATGGCTGAATTCTAGCCAATGGGATATGGGCCAAAGTGATGACACAACTTCCTGTGTTGCCCAGGCATGGATGCCTGTTTGCTCTCCTCCCTCTGGCTCTCCCTCTTCCCCCAGCTGGGGAGCCACTTCCATCATGCAGAACAACAAGACGGAAGGAACCTGGGTACCTGGATGACAGGAATGGTTGCATTTATGCTGACCTATTATCCAAGAGAGGAGTAAATGCCTGATAGATTGGACTCCTGGCTTCTTTTTATCATCACAGCATAGGCTGCTCTGTGGCCAATATATTTTTTAACCAGAAGAGCAACTCACATGGTAGATTGTAAAGGGTTCAAAGTCCCAAAGCAGGGATAGAGAGCCCAAATGCTTCCAGGGAGCAGGTAGGTAACACACAGAAGAAAAGCAGGTCAGGTAGGACCATGGTAAACTGCCTCAGTGGGTCAGCTGCTGGTCAGCTTTGGCCAGCACTCCCCTGTGTTCCTAGAGCCTATGGGTTTGGTTTTTGTTTTGTTTTTAACTTCGGGGATTTTTGAAAAACTGTAAACTCCTGGTTTTTAAGTGTTGGCAATTAATTTTTTTTTAATGTTATGCACTGTAGAGGCATCTGGGTAGCTTAGTTAAGTGTCTAACTCATGATTTTGGCTCAGGTCATGATCTCAGGGAGGTGAGATCGAGCCCCATGTCAGGCTCCATCCTGAGTATGGAGCCTGCTTGGGATTTTTCTCTTTCCCTCTCCCTCTGCTCCTGCCCCTATCCCCCCAAATTTTTATGCATTATGTAGATCAAATAAATTGGTCTGGGGTCACATTTATTTATGATCTCTGCTTTTGTTTGACTCCAAAATATGACAAAAATAAAGAGGCTGATGTGCTATCTAGCATCTTTGAAGGCACATAGGTGGATATTGGTAAAAATCCTGGTTAACCTTTTGTTTAAAAGAGCACAGACGATCTTAAGACAGTTGCTCACAGCGGGCAAACTGGAACAGAGGAGCAAACGAGCAGTTTGCAACTTCTAACTGGAAGGATGACAGGAGGAGTTTCCGCAGGCTGACCTCCAGTCTTCTGTTCCTTCCCTCCTCCTTCTTACCACCTTGGACCAGGTGATAGAAAATGTTTTCAATGCTACTTTTTACCAAATAGGAAACTGTATTACTATTTCTTATTTGTATTCCTTCCTTTGTCAAAGGCTCCTAAGTAGCAAGAGATACATATACGCAGTTTGCTGCATTTTTAGAATCTGAAACTTGGTCGTGGTCTTTCCTTAACCTGCAGACCCCTAAAGGCCTGGAGGCGCAGGGTCTCCCCTCTTTGTGCCTCCATAGAACTTCCTGGGATCACCTGGAAAATAAACTCTCTGCACCCCCATTCTTACTTCAAGATCTCCGTTGGAGGGAACCTAGCTAAAGATTGCAATGAAGTGTGTAAGCTGCTTCTAACCGGGCCTGGTGCATTTCAGGTCACTTGCTCATGTTAGATCAGTGGTTCTCAATTTGGGGTGATCTTGTCCTCACAGAACATACAGCAAGTCTAGAGATACTTTTGGTTGTCACAGTGGGAGTGGGGGGACTAATGACATCTCGTGGAGGGGGGAGGTCCAGGGGTGCTGCTCTACGTCCCACAGCACCCAGGTCAGCCCCCACCACACCCCAAACTAGAATTATCCAACCCCAGATGTCCAGAGTGCCGCAGGTGAGAAACCCTGTGTTTGATGTTACTGTTATAATTGTTACTCTAACAAGCAGCGGGAATCTTCTCCCTGGCCAGTGATTCATTGATTCATTCAATATTCATTGAGTACTTTCCAGGTGCCCAGAGACCAGTTCGATGGTGAGGCATCCAAGAGTGAATGAAATAGACCAAACCCTGCCTTATGGCGGCTGACCGGCAAGTGGGGAGAACAGTCAATGAACAAACAAAACCCAGTGTTCTAGATTGTGCTATAAAGAGAAATTAGGCAGGGAAAGAAGGGTAAGGAACGGCTACAGGAGGGTTTGCCATTGAGAGAGGGGAATCTTGCCTGAAAAAGCGACCACCTCTGGACCAAATCTGAAGCCAGTGAGTAAGTGAGCTGTGTGGGTGTCTGGGGGAAGGAGGTTCCAAGGCAGTGAGGGACACCCATCTATGAGCCCGGATCCAAGAGTAGAACCCCACGTCCCTGCAGTCAGGGCATAAAGCACTGGACACTTCTCCACAGTCAAAGACTGCATTGAAATACCAGCTTTGCCTGTGATTTTGGGCCAGCAACTCAGCTTCTCTGAGTTTCTGTGTCTTCAGCTGTAAAATAAGCCTGATAACAGTCTCTCCCCACCATAGGGCTGTGTGAGCATTAAATGAGATGATGTAGAGAAAGGTTATTGGAAATGTCATGAACAGTTGTATAGTTCGTGCACTGCTCTAAAGCTCCTGGTGTCGGTGGCAAGTAAGACTAGAATCCTTGCTCACTGTCACAGTCCAAAGGAAGGGGCACCTTTTCTGACTTACCCACCCAGAGGGAAGTACCTTTATGTATGTCCTCCATCAGAAGGAGGTGCCATGTTGTCTTTTTTTAATAAAGGGCCCTGTAGAAGCCTTCCTGGCCCTGCCTCTCCCTGGCCAAGCAGGGTAGACTGTAATTACGAGCGTTACCGAGGGAGCTGACTACCTTGTCACCGCTGTGACCTCACCCCAAAGAAAACAAAGTGCAGTTGGTGTTCCTGCTTCAGCCTTGGGAGGAGGGGTTGGGCCTGCCTTTTCAAGCTGCCTCCAGCAATCTAGCCCACCACACAGGAGAGCCCTCTCCCTGAGAGGTGTGGTCTGAGCAGGCTGCTGTCATCTAAAGGCTCAGCCCCAAGCAGAACGGAGAGGGAGGAGACTTCACTGCGCCCATCCAACTCACTTAGGGGTACCTTTTTTTCCCCCCTGGGCAATGCACTGCCCACCCGCTCCTCAGTATCCCCACAGGCTCCCCTCCCACACCTCCCAAACCTCTCCAGAAGGGATCCCAAACTCCTTCCCTTCAAAGATGAATGAGTCTTTGCAGGCTGTTTCTCCCAAAGAAATCATCGCTAAGACTCAACACACTTCTTACCTCTGATCTGCTCCCTGCCAAACCAGCCAACGTTCAGAGCCCTCCAGGAGCTGCACGTTCTCATTTCAGTCCCGTTTTACAGCTGGGGGGACTTCAGGGCGGTGACCAGCTGGCCAGTGAACTTGAACCCAGGAGCCTGCATCCCCCCTACCTCTCAGGGGCACACCGCATCCGGACTGCTGAGGTCCCAGGTCTCCACCTCCAATACCCCCGGGGCCAAGATCGCCAGGGAAGTGGGCGTGGTAGGGTCCAAGGCGGGGAGGATGCGGGGGACTGGAGGACCCACTGCCCTCTTGGGGCACCTGGGGTCCCCGCGGAGGGTGGCCCAGGGAATGCGGTCCAGGGATTCTAAGAAAAGCCGGAGACCTGGATTTTTTTTTTGAACGAGAAATCGCCCCCATCTTCTCAGGAGGGGGCATCTTCCCTGGAAGGGGCGTCTCCCCGCGGCGGTGGCGAGCCGGTAGATGTCGGGGGTCCCGGCTCCGCACCCCTCCCCACGCGCGTGTCCCCCATCCCCTCCCCGTTCCCCAGGTGCCTACCTGGCGGGGGCGGCACGGCCTCCAGGCAGGCGTAGGCACAGCCGTTGTAGCAGCAGCGCCGGTGCCGCGGGCACTCGGAGTCGGCCTGGCAGCGCGCCGCCTGGCAGGCGCCGGGGGGCAGCGAGCTCGGTGGCGGCGGGCAGCGGTCGGCGCGGGGCTGCCGGGGGTCGGTCGCCTCCTCGGCCTGCGGGGGGAGAGCGCGGTCAGCCGCGGGCGGACGCGCATGCTCGTGTGTGCGTGTGCGCGGGTCTGGGTACGCACACACACCTAGACACGTGCACACGCGGGTGTTCTGCAGATCGGCAATCCCCATGCGTTCCCGAGCTCTGAGAGTTTCCAGATCACACAGGCACACCACTTGGATGAACCTAGCACATTAAAAAAACGCCAGCTCAAAAGAGAACACACAGTGTGACTCCATTTAACTTTGTGTTCAAACACGCAGGCACACAGGGTGTCTGGTGTGAGAAGTCAGCACAGGGGTCCCCAGGTGGTGGGGACCCAGAGGGAACCTCTGGTCTCCGGGGACAGGCCCTGTTCTGCTTTGGGATCTGGGCGCTGGCTACACGGTGTGTTCACCTTGTGGGAAGCTGGACACGAGATTTGCCCACTTTCCAGTATTTGTTCAATAAAAAGTTAAAAATCGTACAGTACTTAACATGTAGGAAACATGGGCACATGAGCAATAAAATTAGCATTTTGGAGGTGAGGTGGGGGGGCTCTGTCACACCAGGCTACCCACACTGGGTCCCTCGGACACCAGATTCCGTCCATGCTGGGCACACTGTTCTGCTCCTGGATTTGAAAGTGGGCCGTGCGGACGGCAGGTCTTACGTACACATCACACACACACACACACACACACACACACACACACACACACACACACTGATAAAAGGGGCTCATTGGGAGAAAACACCCTGGCTCGCCTCACCTCCTCACCACTCCTGTCATCTGAATCCCTATCTACCCCCTGTCCCCGCTCCCCTGCAAACGTATCCGGATCTCAGATTCCTACCCTCCCGTCCAAGTAAGTGAAGCTTGTCTGCAGACTAGAACCCTGTGCCCTTACCCTGCTTTGAAAGATTAGCAAGATGCGGTGGTGGGTGTGGAATATTAGCGAGCAGAACAGTTTGTATGCTACACACCTAACGATGCTTTAAAATAAGCATCTGAACACTCATGCAATATGTATAGGGTTTGCCTAAAACATTTTTGGAAGGATACACAAGGATACACAAGACACCGTTATCACAGATGGCCTTTAGAGAGGAGCATTCGGTTCTAAAGCCAAGGAGGATTTCTCCTCATTGTCTGCTTTAATATTCTTTTGGCCATGCACACACTCTTTTTTTCAATTTAAAGAAGGCCATCAAAAATTTAAAATTTTTTTTTTAAATCCAAGAGAAGTACTTCTGAAGCATTTTTGATGACAAGAAAAACACTTATGTTAGTTTAAAAAAAAAAAAAAAGAGGGACACCTGGGTGGCTCAGTTGGTTGGACAACTGCCTTCGGCTCAGGTCATGATCCTGGAGTCCTGGGATCGAGTCCCGCATCAGGCTCCCAGCTCCATGGGGAGTCTGCTTCTCCCTCTGACCTTCTCCTTGCTCATGCTCTCTCTCACTGTCTCTCTCTCAAATAAATAAATAAAATCCTAAAAAAAAAAAAAAAAAGAGCAAGGAACAAAGCGGCATATGCACTCTGACCTCAAGGGAGTAAAAAGAGGAAGGTCAAAGATGGGTCCACGTCCCTCCCTTGACCCCCACCCGACAGCTGCTACGGTGGTGGCCAAGCCCATGCGCTGCTCCTGGTGCCCTGTAGGGGGCATAGGTCACCGAGGACTGGTACACCACCAGGTGCATCTTGGTATTGGTGCAAAGGACCAGGGGGTTTTCAAACTACCTCCCAGGGGAGCCCCAGGACGCTTAGGGGGAGGACAGGAGAATGAAGAAAGCAGTGACCAACGGGGCAGGGACAGCCTGGGGAGGCCCCGCTTCTCCCAGGGAATTCGTCTTTTCTCCCATAAATATGTCGGTCATTTAATTTGTGAAATGTAAAAATGAACACAAAACCAACATTTGGCTCCTAAGGAAATGAAGGCTTCAGGAGATTGGTGGTTCTTCCCCAAAACAAAAGGGAGATCACGGAGACCACAGCACGGATTTTCAAACCGGTTCAGCCTTTTCGCCAGCCCCTGCTCAGACCAGGCCCTGTAATTCCCGTATCATGAGTAATTTTCAAGCTACAAGCTTGCAAGCCATCGGCTCTTAGTTCATTTTTTTTTCCGGAATTAACAAAATTGGACCCATGTTGGGGCCCAACCATTTTCATCCTAATAGAACGTGACAGCTGCCCGGGCCTCCTTGGGAGGGTGACGAGGCCCGGGTGCATGTGGTCGGGAGGCCCGGTGGAATTTTCTGCCCGGCCTGATTGTGAACGAGGCCTCATTTACAGACCTCATTGCAACCTTCAGATCATAAATGAGACTGTCTCCTGCCCGCTGCACCTCCCAGTCTGGCTTCCCAGTCTGGGAACATTAGGACGCCCATGGTGGGGACAGGGGTACAGAGAGATGGATCTTAGCTGTGCCCCTGCTCTCCTCTCCCAGGAAAATTCAAACCTCGGGTCTCCCAGATTTTGGAGAGAACAAAAGAGATAAGCGCCTTAAAAGTCAAATCTCCCGAGTTATTTGTGGGGCGGCCCAAACAACAGATGGTTGTGGGTGATAAAGAACTGATTTCACCGAGGGGCCCAGATTAAAGGATTAACTGTTTGGGAAAATATTTCATGTCACACAAGGTAATGCTCAAAAAGATCCTTTAAAAGCATGTTTCCCAGAGTTCTGAGAAAGAACTGACTTTATCAGAGAGATAAATAGATCACCAACACCCACCCCCACACACCCCAGGGTGTCCCAGCCTGGGGGAGGACAAAGGGTTAAAGATCAGATGGAGTTGGCTGGCTTCCCTCCCCTCAGCCCCTCCACTTCCCAAACTCACCTCCCTCTCTTGCTCATTCCCTGTCAGCTATCTTGGCCTCTCTGAGGTCCCCGGGCATAGTCCTGCCCCTGGGCCTTTGCACGGGCTTAGATGCCGGCCTGGCTCCGCCCTCACTTCCCCCAGGTCTCTAAGTGACACATACCGTCCCCCTGCACTGCCTGTTGCTCCCCCTGGGTTTTGTTCCCACCTGTGTCCCTGGTACCCACAGCAGGGCCTGGAACAGAGTAGGCACTCAGCACAGATCTGTGGTGGTTGAATGAATGACGACGGTTGCCCAAGATGAGGTCCACCACTTGCCAGTGGTTCCCCAGGCCTCCCTCTATGGGCTTCTGTGTTGGGACTGACCAATCTGCAGGCACAGTGGCACTGTGTGGTGGGCACCGCTGTCCGGGCAGCCTTCACTGCCCGGGAGCCTTGCCTTGTATCAGATCCATGCAACAGACACCTCTTCCCAAGCACTGACACCCTCCTCTGGTCACGTGAGGCCAGCGGGGGAGGTCCAATGCCTACCCACATACACTGGAGCCTGCAGAATGAAAGGTCTGCCCCAGGCCACAGGCTGAGAAGAGTCACGAGCCTAAGGAGTCCACTCCTCTGTCCCAAAGCCCAAGTAATGGATCCCAGCTGTGAATCTAGAATCGACGGCCTTGATGACTGAAGGTCTGCTCAGACCCCTTCCTCCTCCTGGCCTTGTGGCCTTCCACACACTGTTCCCTCCACTCAGAATTTTCTCCAGCTGCCTCCCCTTCCTTTGGGGCAAGAACGTAGGAGCGTCTGACTTTTGGGTGTACCAAGGGGGAGGGGGGCTCATGGCCTTATAACAGTACAGGCTGAGTTCAGCTGGGATCTAACTCAGGCTTAGGAACTACACAAGTCTGGGCTTGTTTGGAGGTTGGGGGGGGTTAAATTTTTAAATTCAATTTAGTTAACATATAGTGGATTATGAGTTTCAGAGGTAGAGTTTAGTGATTCATCCGTTGCGTCCAACCCCCCGTGCTCACTCCGCCACGTGCCCTCCTTACTGTCTGTCACCCAGTTGCCGCCTCCCAGCCACTTCCCCTCCAGCAACCCTGTTTGTTTCCAGAGTTAAGAGTCCCTCAGTTTGTTGTCCTCTCTGTTTTCGTCTTATTGTACTTTTTTCCTCCCTTTCCCTAAATACATGTTTTGTTTCTTAAATTCCACCTATAAGTAAAATCCTATGGTATTTGTCTTTCTCTGATTGACTTATTTTGCTTAGCATAATAGCCTCTGGTCCATCTGCATCATTGCAAATGGCAGGATTTCATTCTTGTTGATGGCTGAGTAATATTCCGTCGTCTGTATCCCACATCTTCATCCACTCGTGTGCTGATGGACATCTGGGCTCTTTCCATAGTTTGGCTGCTGTGGACACCGCTGCTATAAACATCGGGGTGCTGGTGCCCCTTCGGATCACTGTGTTTGCATCCTTCGGCTCAATACCCAGCAGTGTGATGGCCGGGTTGTGGGGTAGCTCTATTTTCAACTTTTGAGGACCCCCCTGACTATCTTCCAGCGTGGCCACACCAGTATGCGTTCCCCCCGACAGTGTGGACTCCCCTTTCTCTGCATCCTCTCCGACACCTGTCATTTCCCAAGTTGTTAATTTTAGCCATTGTGACCAGTGTGAGGTGGTCTCTTATACAAGTCTGGGTTTGAACCCTGCACCTCTGGGATCCCACAGGAAAACCACTGATTTATCCGAGCCTTGGTTTCCCTCATCTGCAAAACGGGCACACATATCTCACCTGCTGCAGGTGTCTGTGGCAGGAGACCAGGAGCTCGCACCTGCGCCACCGGCAACACCGGTCCGCTGGAGTTCTGTTTGCTTTTCCTGTGGTCGACCTGGTGGCCCTGAAAGCCTCCTGCCCCCCAGCCAGGGGTCTGTCAGCTCCTGGTAGCTTTGGTACCAGTAGCCTCCCCGGGTCTTCCTTCCTGCCAGCCTCCCCCCTGCCCTCCATCACTCACAGGATGGTTTAGGTCTGCAGCTGAGGCAGATGCTACAGGAAATGAAAAGCTTGTCCCTGCCCTGGAGGAGTCTGGATCTAGCTGGGGACCGCAGACGCACCTCCAGGAGACGCTCAAGCAACAACGCCATGTGGCACTTGGCGGCATTGTCCTGTCTTTGCCAGACGAGGGCAGACAACTGGCAGAGTTCCTAAAAGG